TTGATGGAAAGAATCCATATGAATTGTTGTTTGGGAAGGAACTAACTTACAAACATATTTATGTTTTTGGGTGTTTATGTCATGCTCATTATCAAGGGCGTGACAAAGATAAGTTTGGTTCTCGAAGTCGAAGATGCGTTTTTGTTGGGTACCCTTTCGGTAAGAAATGATGGAGACTCTATGACTTGGATACAAATGAGTTCTTTGTATCTCGTGATGTTGTATTCTTTGAACATATTTTTCTTTATAAGGTTGTTGTCTTTGAATCTCTTAACACCGGTGTGATCGAGCAGCCACCTGTCTGTAACGATGATGTACATTTTCATGAGTTGGATAGTGCAGATACTTCGAATGGTGAACCAACTCCTGAAGAAGATTTGACTTCGAAAGCAAGGGGGGAGTAGTGAGGTTCTTAATGAACAGAGAGGGGACGACGTGAACTTGGAAATGAACAGTGAAGGTGAAAACCTTGGTCGAGGATGTAGCGAAAGGCGTCCTCCTGAGAAGCTAAAGGACTATGTATGCCACACAGCGCAACACATCAACGACCCCCTCGCTGATCATGCCACATCATGTCACTCCTCAGGTGTGTCTTATCCTATTGCATGCTACGTGACTTGTACTAATTTTTCCTTGAGACATAGACAGTTCTTAGCAGCTATAACTATAGGGAAAGATCCCACATATTTTTCAGAAGCGATTCGTGAGCCACATTGGAGACAAGCCATGAAGGAGGATATTAAAGCTCTTGAGCGTAATGGCACCTGGACCCTTGAAACATTGCCTCCCGGGAAGCAAGCGATCGGGTGCAAATGGGTGTACAAGACCAAGTATAACTCAGATGGAACGATCGAAAGACACAAGGCTAGATTAGTGATTTTAGGGAATAATCAGAAGGTTGTGATAGATTGTAATGAGACTTTTGCTCCAGTAGCAAAGATGGTGATTGTTCGGCTATTTTTGGCTGTAGCGGCAGCACGAAAGTGGGAGCTTCATTAGATGGATGTGCATAATGCCTTTTTCCATGGTGACCTGGCAGAAGAGGTGTACATGCGATTGCCGCCTGGTTTTTCATCTACACATCCAGGAAAGGTATGTCACTTGCAAAAATCTTTGTACGGATTATGACAGGCACCTAGAAACTGGTTTGCCAAATTGGGCATGGCCTTGAAGATGTATGGATTTACTCAATCACACTCAGATTATTCTTTATTCACTTACCATAAGGAATGAGCTACACTCTGTGTTTTGGTATATGTGGATGATCTTGTTGTGGGAGGAAACAATGGGGAGATGATACATCAATTCAAGCAGTATCTGAGTCGGTGCTTTCACATGAAGGATCTTGGGTTGTTGAAGTATTTTCTTGGCATTGAAGTCGCCAGAGGAGATGAGGGCATCTATCTTTATCAACGAAAGTATGCACTAGATATTATTTCTGAAACAGGATTGTTGGGAGCTAAACCGGCTCATCTGCCCATGGAACAAAATCATCGGCTCGCACTAGCCGACGGGAAGTTGCTTGATGACCCAAAAAAATATCGACGTCTAGTAGGAAGATTGATCTATCTTACTATAACACGACTTGAGCTTTGCTATTCTATGCACATATTGGTTCAATTTATGCAACAACCACGACAAGAACATTGGGATGGAGCTCTACGGGTGGTCCGACACCTCAAAGGGAATCTAGGACAAGTAATCATCTTGAGCGCCAACAGCGATCTCCGACTATATGCTTATTGTGACTCCGATTGGGCTAGTTGTCCTTTGACACGACAAGAACTTTGTGATGCTTGGACGGTCTCCTGTTTCTTGGAAAACCAAAAAGCAACATACCGTCTCACATTCATATGCAAAAGCAGAGTACAGGTCCCTGGCTACCGCGATGTGTGAACTGAAGTGGTTGAAGAGTGTCCTACGTGACCTTGGCGTGGAACATCCCAGACCTATGTGATTGCATTATGATAGTCGTGCCACTATTTATATTGCAGCTAATCCGGTGTTTCATGAACGCACCAAACATATAGAGGTTGATTGTCACTTTGTTCGTGATGCCGTGCAAGCCCAAACTATTGAAACTGTTCATGTGTGAACTTACAATCAGTTGGCAGACATTTTGACAAAGGCACTTGGCTAACGTCAGTTCGATTTTCTTCTTCGCAAGTTGGGCATACATGACCTACATGCTCCAACTTGAGGGGGAGTAATAGAGATACTGTACATATTTAGAAAGATATTGTTCTTATAGAGTTTTAGGAAGTTAGAATATTTGCTCCTCCATTGATTAGGATGTTGCTAATTTTAGTCTTGCTAATTTTTGTCTTGATGTAATTGTATATATATTGGCTGTCCTCTCCATTGATTAATACAAGAGAGAAAGCTTCCAGCCTCTTTGTTCTTGTCGGAGGAAGAGAGAAGGAGAAGAGAGAGAGAGAGAGAAAGAGAGAAGAAGAAGAAGAAGAAGAAGAAAGAAGGAGAAGAGAGAGAGAATGCGAGCTGTGTAATAAATGCATCGAAAATGTAATTAAAAGATAATTTCGATGTATTTATTACATTGATTATCGATGTAATTAAAAGATAAAATGTAATTTTACACCAAAAATTAGTGTAAAATTACATGTTTACCAAATGTATGCAAAATCGAACCGAGGTGCAAAGTTTACCCTGGTTCGATTTTACACCTCTACCAAACGCAGCCTTAGGGGAAGAAGATGACAAGAAAAAAATGTATTTTTCTATAAGTTTCAATCACATTTTAAGATGACGTGGGGAATTGTTATTGGAGGTTGCATGTAGGTGGACTGAAGGGTCCATATAATGCATCCGAGAGAGAGAGAGAGAGAGAGAGAGAGAGACGATGGCTTTGGTTCTTAGTTCTCGGGGAGAAAATGAACAGTATTTTGGAGAGTATTTAAATAGATTGACATAAGGGCAAAATAGGCATTTAAAAAAACAAACACATTAGATTGGCTTTTCTATCTAGGAATGGAGGTAGTTGCATATTTTTTAAAAAGTATAGGGGAGATTTTTGTTAAAATGAAAACATAAGAGAGGATTTTATGATTGTCAGAAAACTCAATGGAGGTTTTTGTATTTGACCCTTTTTTTGGGTAAAGAAATTGAAGACCTCATATATTTTTAGGCTTAAAGGCCGGCTGTTAGTTGATAGCTGAAGTGGCTGAAGCTGAACTGACAAGGTTGTGGGTTTTTTCTTAATGGCTGAAGCCTAAAGTCAGAATGAATATTTTATTATTTAGTTATAAGGTAAATTGCTGAAATTTCCCCTAAAGTTTCTGACCATTGCTGAAACCTCCCCTAAAGTTTGATAATTGCAATCACCTCCCCTGAAATTTCTAACATGGTTGCTAGCAAATCCACTATGTTAGAATTCTAAATGTTTATTTTCCAATTTTTTTTCTTCCTATCAATAAAACCCTTCCAATCTCTTTTCTGAAATTGATTTATTTTCCAAATTCTCAATTAGGTTGTGTTTGGTTGCAATGCAAATAAATTTGCACTGATGCAAAACTATAACAGTGCAAATGATTTGAATGTAATTTCCAACTTATTTTTTCTTTAAATTTTAACTTATTTTGTTTGATTGTAGTGCAAATGAAGTAAATTAAGACATTAAGCAGAATAAGGAAAAACCCCAAAACAAAATTAAACAAGAATATGTATTTTTTTTCATTTGTACTCCCATGCATTTGTACTAGTGCAAAAAAAATTGCACTGCAACCAAACACAGCTTTAGGCTCAGTTTGGAAGGAGTACAAATACAAATATGTATAGTACAAATACATACAAAGTAATGTCAAATACAAGGTTTTGCACTCATATTTGTATTTATACCCCTTCCAAGCCAAACCTTAATATCAATCACTCAAAGGTAAAGCTGCAATTTCTTTTTTTTCATAGGTAAAGCTGCAATTTAGACCCTTTTTTTTTATTCATGAAGTTTGTATTGTTTTTTTTTTCTTTCTGTAGAAACCAGACTCAATAATATCTACATCGGTATTTTAAGGATTTTCATACGTTAGATGATTCTAACAAAGGGGGTCTAATTGCAATTGTTAAATAATTTAAGGGAGATGATTGCAATTACTAAACTTCAGGGGAGGCAAGGTGCCAATCAGCTGGTTGATAAAGTCTCCTGCTGATTGTAGCAAAGACTTGGGATTGAACCCCACCTGCATCTGGATTGAGGGATGAGCTACTCTCCGTTGTGTAGCCCTTGGAGTTAAAAAAAAAACAAAACTTCGGAAAGGTTTTTAGCAATGGTCAGAAACTTCAGTGGAGGTTTCAATAATTTACCCTTAGTTATATTATGTTTTAAAACCGAGCCAGAAGGTTGAATAGTAACCCACTAAACAGATCATACAAGTCACCGGTTCAATCATCTGGCTCATGACAGAGTCAATACATTTTTGTACCATAGCAAGTTAGAGGTTGATCTAAATCGGGATTATAACCAAATTACCGGTCTAACCAACCGGGTCAACAACAGTTATAAAACACTGGCTAGGATAGGATGGTGGTTATAGAGTTGATGTGGAATATATGAATCAAATCAAGGGGTTCCCCTATTTGATGCACGGTCTAGATCGACCATATCATCGGTCTACATGGTCAAAATATATGCAATTTGATAAATAAATTATGGTTAAAAAAGGGAAAAGTTGTCATCAACCAATAATAGACTTGATGGGCGAAAAACGTGTCTAACATGTCTGTGGAAGGAGAAAGAAGAAGAAAAGAATAACTGAAGTGGGTAGAGAACTCCATATGTAAAAAATGAGGCCTTGGGTTGGGCAAAACATTAGCCCATCTTTTTGGTGGGCCTTGAAAATAGGATCAAAGTCATGCAAATAATATCTAGCCCATCTTGTCTATTCTAGGCCAAGCCCATGTTCCTATCCCTAATCTGAAATGACTAAAATATCCTTAACAATTAGCATAATTTCAACGGGTCTGCCTGTTTTTCCTTTGCAGTCCTCGCTTTCTTTTTCGTGCTCCTCAAGTCGCCACAGAGTACGCTATTTTTTTCGTCATAGGAGAGCGCGCACACACACAACGCAGAGAGACGAGGGGGAAGAAGAAAGCAAAACGGATCAAAGAGATGGAGTGTGTTTTCGGACTGGTTGGTAACGGTTTCGCTCTGGTGGTGGCCGATACTTCCGCGGTACACAGCATTTTGGTTCATAAATCGAACGAAGACAAGATTATGATCCTTGACTCCCACAAGCTTCTGGGCGCTAGCGGTGAAAGCGGTGACAGGTCTCTCTCTCTCTCTCTGGAGTTCCCGCTGTTTCCACTGGATTGAGAAGAATTTACAGTAGATTTTGTTTTGTTTCTGAATATTGTTTTTGTTCATTAAAATAATGCAGAGTTCAATTTACGGAGTATATACAGAAGAACGTGGCATTGTATCAATTCCGTAACGGGATCCCGTTGACAACCGCAGCTGCTGCGAATTTCACTCGGGGCGAACTCGCCACTGCGTTGAGAAAGGTTCCATCTTTTCTCATGATTTCGATTTCTTGTTATTTTCCTAATTTAGGGTCTGTTATAAATTTTGAAATTCTAGGGCTTTGGACTTTATTATAGCTCTTTTTTTTTTATTGTATGTAGTTGTTCTAGTCTGATGTTGGAAAATGTCTAGGTTTTCAGCTTTAAGTAAAGTTGAATTTCTGGGGTTACAGTTTTAGGTTTAGTTTTGTAGGAAGTGGTGACTTTCGTGTCAATGTTTGCTTCATTTTTTTAAGCACTTTGGTCTTCCAATTGCTGATTAAGATGTCTTTTCATTTTCAACTTGAGGGCTTCTCTATTTGGTGCTTCGTAGCTTCATTTTTAACTTTGACTGTTCATGTTACCCTGTTGCCTTGTTGCAGTTTGTGTTTAGTTTTTTTTTTTTTTGTCAATACTAATTATGCTTCAAAGAACATCCCCTCTGGAGTTTCAGTTTATAAATGATAAGGTTATGTACTACAGTGAAATGTTATGTATTGGCATACTGAGAGAGCGGTGACCTACTAGACATAAAACAGCTAGAGGAATTGAATGGCTTGGCACATTACTGTTATGTTCTTTTGCTATTTTATTTGCTATATTACACGTTTATATTGGAAAATATAAATGATGATAACAGTAACTCTAGTGCATGATGCGTATGAAGAAGATAAGCAGTTATTTGATTTTCATATTAACGTGAAATCTAATAGTCTCTTTGTGTGTGCACATCCCCATGCACGTGAAGGAAGAATGGAATGTTAATGGACTATCGAGAAGTAAGGATTTTCAGCATTTACCGATTAAAAGAGAAAAAATAAAGAATTGATAAAGTTTTGATGCGTAGGAATTAGATGGATGGCAATCTACCATTGAAATATGGAGAATTAACTGTTCATGCAAAGATGAATTTAGAGCATCCTGAATCCTGATGCAGAACCCACCCAACAGAAGTTAATTGAGGTGACTGTAATAGAAGCAAGCCGGAATTAGGGCACAAAGCACATAGCTTGTTTGCTTGTTTTGTCACTTAGCTTCAATATTCCTGACAAACGGGGATAGACAGAATGTAGAAGAGTTATAAAAATTAAGAAAACAAGGGATTATATAGAATTTATAAGTGGGTAAAAGGTCAGCTGAAGCAGTGCTCGCAGGTTGACTGAGCAACTTGGAAGGACTGGTTAGAGGCTTGGGAAGGTCATAGTGTCATACAGTTTAAAACAATGAGGAAATCTCTACTCTTCTAAGATAAATGCTTAAGCATATAGCAGTAGCAATAAAGAAGAGAAAGAGAACTATAGTTAGAGAATGACCTGCTTAGTTCTCTAATTATGCAAGAGATGTGTGTATGCCTCGAACCAGGGATCACTTTAATTGTTCTATAGGTATACAAGAGATCCACATGTACTTGGATGAATCAACTAAAATCCTCCCACCCCTATTATGATACTTGTAGTGATGCCTAGACATGACAACTAAAAATTTAGATTCCATTCCCTTCTTTACCGTACAATTGTTTGGGGGGAGGGGTACATGAATTTGAGAAAAAAAGGGCCATCTGATGTACAACAATCTTTTCTCCAAACCAGCCAATGGCAGGGGGATATATAAAAAACATCACTTAGTAAAATGGGATCAGCTATATCATCCTAAAAAACAGGTGCATTATGCATAGGGAGAGTAAGAGTGATGAGTAAAACATTATTGAGTAAGTGGTTGTGGAGATTTGGGGTAGAGATAGGTTCTATGGAGGAGAATAATTGCAAATGTGTGGGGGAGGGGTATAGAGTGGGATTTTAGAAAGATGAATATTGTGGGTAGGGAAGTTTTTTTTTTTTTTTTTTTGTGTAGCAGAATTTATTCGTTATGTTTCAGAACTGTATCTATTATTTAGACCAAACCATCTGTTGTTATTTTTTTTTTTTTTTTTTTTGTTAAGCAAGACATTCATTAAACAAAGAAACAGAAACAGAGGGGAACTAAACACCACTAACCTAAACTACCAACACCTAAACACAAGGAACTACAGAACAGAAGCACTACTAACCTAAACTACCATCCCAGATGGGGTCTTGAGATTCAGCTGCTAAAGAAGCTCTAACCAGTCCGGCAGGCTCCACCAAGATCCAGTATAATCTAACTTGCCTCTAGAAGCCAGCAATAGGCCTGTAAATGGTATCCGGAAATTCGAATGATTCAGATGGAATAAACGGTCAAATTCGAATATAATTTTTGTACCGATTATTTAATCGGATCGAATTCGAATACATACTGATTCAATTCGATAAATATTCGAATTTGATAATAGATATTATAATATATAAATATATTATATTCTAATTTGACTAACTTGTAGTACACCCTTTACACACGACCCAAAGCGTCACCTGTATCTACTTATTATAAAAGACAAACAAAACCACTTTAATTGACGAGCCTTTCAACTTTTTCGTTTAACGAGATACCAAAAGCCTTCTTTTGTATATCTCTTGCCCCCTCTTTCTCCTCCCTCTCCGTCTCTCCTTCTGTATTTTAGTTTCTTTAATTTCTGCAACACTTTTCATTCTCACACTAAGGATGAAAAGTGTAGCTCCTTCTCCCGTATTTTAGTTTCTGCAACACCTTTCATTTTGGCGCTCAGGATGAAAAGTTTAGAGAGAAAGTAAGGAGAACCAGCTTCTATCGAAGACGAAAGGGCTTCTGAAGATTAAACTTCAACTTCTGTCGATTGGGGCCATTATCCAAGACTTCTTACTCTTCCTTTGTTCTCTCTCTCTCTCCCTCTCTCTCTCTCTCTCTCTCTCTCTCTCTCTCTCGTTTCTTCTTTCTTCTGAATTATGAGTTTTTTTTTTTGTTTATTTTCTTTCTTGTTTTAGATTTTTGAGGCTTTCTTTTTTGCATTGTTAACAAGTGATGATTTTATTTTTTGTGTTTTTTTTTTTTTGCGTTGTTCACATGCAATGGTTGTTTCTCCTCTTTAATTTGGTTTTTAGATTTACAGTTTTCTCTGCAAAATCAGTTATAATCGAATATTCCACATTTTAATCGAAATCGAATTCAGTTGGGATTTCTGAATATCCGACGGATTTCAAATCGAATTCGAACAACTTATTTTGCAATTGAAATCGAATTTGAACATGGCCTGATTCGATTCAAATTCGCTCCGTTTACAGGCCTAGACAGAAAATGAGCAGAGCCATTAAAATCTCACTTGAAGTGCCTGAACACAATTCCATCATTTAAACAGTTGAAAGTATGATTCAGCAAAGGCCACACAGCAGGGGTGCAGTTAAAAGACTTCTTTTGAGTGTTTTAATCAAATTCAGGGAGTGACAAAAAAAATTCCAGGTTCCTCAGACCCATCTTCTTAACACAAGCAACATTCTCTAATGGCATAGTATTCTGCATACTCAGCTGAAACTGATTTACAAGGACCACATTTACCAAAAATAAACAAGCCAGCACTGTTTTTTATCAGAAAACCAAATCCACTTGAACCTTGACTCAAGAAACTGCCGTCAGCATGGACTATTAACAGATCCGGCTCTGATGTTGCTTGAGCTGAGCTACTGGGGAGCAATTAATCTGTTGATTCTGGAGAGGAAGCTGCCATCACTTCCTTCATCAACCTGTTAGCAGATATAAGAGTAAATATTGGGTTGGGCTGAGAACAGTTAAATATAAACTCATTCCTAGCTTTCCAAATACTCCAGAGAAGAATAGCAGAGAATTCAACAATAAAATCTTTATCAGAACATGCTTCCCAAGCTTGTTTCAGCCACCATTTCCACCCATCAGCAAAGGATGGATAGGAGTTAAACTCCCTGAGGGATAAGCCAAGTCTGCTTCCAAACCAAACAGCTCGAGCATGATCACATTCCAGAAGGGCATGGACAATGCTCTCCTTTGAGCCTTCACACAATGGGCAGAGGTCTGAGTTACCAATTCCTTGGTGAACTAGTTCAGCTTTAACTGCCACACTATTTAAACAACATTTCCAAATGAAGTGCTTTTTTTTTTTTTGAAAAGAAGATAACTTATATTCAAAAAGTGGGGGGAAGGGATGTACAAACAGGCCAAAAAACACAAAAAGAAAAGCCTGTATCAAACTAAAGATGGTAAAGAGATATCATTCTACAAGAAATCCCTTCCCAACCCTTGCTTTGCTAAGGCATCTGCAGTTCTATTGATCTCCCGGGGAATCCATCTAAAGGTGCAATTCAGCAAAGAAGACAGCTTGTGAATTTCTGCAAGGAGGTGAGCTAGCTTCCAAGAACCCTCATCTGAATCTTTTGCCACTTGATTAGTAACTGCTAAAGGACTGAAATGATTGTTCTTAGCAATTCTTAAACCTTCTAGAAGAGATTGGACTTAAGCTTCAGAGGCATCTGCAGCTTGGATTGGGCCACTAAAGGCCCACAATATATCTCCTGTAGAGTTTCTCACAGTACCTCCTATTCCAGCAACTGATGGAAGCTGCAGCTACCTTCTAAAGCTGCCATCAAACTGCAGCAAGTAATCACTGTCTTCAAAGATTCTTCTATTCCTTTCTTCCCGTATCCCCCACATCACCACATGAATTACTGCTTTCAAAAAGAGTTTCCTCTTCCCCCATCTTTGGATTAGCCCACTGGATAACAAAATCAGTGACTGAGTTTGGAGGAGTCCAGCTGTAGTTTCTATCTAGAAGTGCTTTATCCTAGGGGGGGTTTTAAATTCCAGGTCCTCTTCCAATGGTTTGCATCTAAACCCAAGCTATACTCCTCACTGTTTTGGGTTACAGTCCTTTTATAGGCAATCTGATAGTCAGCTATGGGGGCATCAAAATTAGCTTGGACCTTTGCTCTATCCCATCCAAAGTTTTGTTGGTCAAATAGGTCACTGACCCATTGGATGCTTGCATTATTTGGTTTTGGGCCCATTGGTTTGAAGAAAGGGATCCCGTAGCCACGGATCCTCCCAGATGTCAATGTTGCTACCCTTAGCTATGCTCCAGCAAGATCTCTCTTTTAAAATGTCCCTCCAAGCAAGTAAGCTTCTAAAACCTCATGAGCAATTTATTGGTTCTTTGACACTCCAAAAGTTCTTTCCCCTAAGGTATCTTCCTTCAATTACATTGGCCCAAAGGCTGTTTTTGTTCTCAGCAAATCTCCAAGCCTGTAGGGAAGTTAATATACCCTAGATCGAATTGGGTGAAAGAAAAGAACATCACAACTAAGGAACATTTTGAAGTAAGGAATGTGCAGGTTGTATGGAGTCCAATTTTCTGACGTCTGTTGTTACGTGTTAGAGAGTTTGAGGAATGTATACAGTTGTCCAAATGGCCAAAAGAGACAGATGGTTTGCCACCAATACATTATTGCCAAATGGTGGAAAGAATGCTCAAATTGGTGCTTACAGTAAAATCATTTTAAGATACTTTTTTCAAGAATCAGATTGAATACTCTGATAGTCTGATATTAGAGTAATGTGGCCTTGTGAGGAAAATCCAGTACTGCCAAGAGCTGTTTTGTGACTACTTTTTCATAATAGCATTCTCATAATGGATCATCTGAAAAGCAAGGGTTTTTGTTTGGCAAGCTAATGCATCATTTGTGGTAATCATGAAATTATGTGTCATCTATTCATCAATTGCAGCATTTCAGATTTTATTAGGAGATTTTTTGCTGCTTTGTGCAGAAGGCCTAGACACGATCCAGTCCTTCCAAAAGAGATTTTTTTTTTTTTCTAAATGGCCATCTTTTTCTTGTAGTATAAAGACAAAAATATTTTGGAGTACAATTCGTTTTGCATTCTGTTGGAGTATATGAAGAGAAAAATAGAAGAATTCTTTTATGGAAGATCTAGACTCTAGAGGTACTAGAAGAGTTGTGGCTGATATTGGGTCTCTCTTTATGGATTGATCACTCACTCATCCTGTATTTAGAGACTTATCTTGTTCTTCATTTGGAACATTCTTTTATGGAGAAATAGAAGAATTCCAAAGACTTATCTAACATGTGTAACTATGTAATGTTCATAATGTGTGTGTGTGTGTGTTTTTTTTTTTTTTTTTACTTTTTATTTGTAACCATACAGTTGGCTGAGTTGGGTTTCAGCATGGAATAGAATGTAAATTCTCCTTTTTATTTTAATAAAATTTCTTTTCCTTTGCTATAAAAATGTACTTTAGAAAATACCAAACTTCTAGGATGTTCATTGAAGAATTCCAAAGATTTTTTTAAAATGTTGAACTCGTATAGGTTATTAATTTTGTTTGTGTGTGTGTTTTTTTTTTTTTTTTACTTTTTATTTGTAACCATACAGTTGGCTGAGTTGGGTTTCAGCATGGAATAGAATGTAAATTCTCCTTTTTATTTTAATAAAATTTCTTTTCCTTTGCTATAAAAATGTACTTTAGAAAATACCAAACTTCTAGGATGTTCATTCATTTAACATGTTCATATTGTTATATTTATCAAAAAGAAAAACATGTTCATATTGTTTTCCTTTGCATAGAAAATTCCAAATAGTTGGGACTAAGACTGATTTGAGTTTTTTTTTCTTTAATAAATAAGATAAGAGTTTATTAACAATGGGACAAAGAGTTCAGTTATGCTGATTACAAATTTGGTTATTACATTATGGAATTAAGTCAAGAAAAGGGACAAGAAATCCCATGTACAAGGCTTACATGGTCTATAGTATTACAAATCATGCACAAGATTTACAATCTATGCAGCCTCTAAAGATTTGAAAGTGATATAGTGCCAGTAATTATAAGGATGAGTGAAACATGAGCCTTTAGAATCTGTCAAAATCAATGCCCAGAAAAAGATTACAGTGTGCATAAGATTGCCTATGCATTTTAACAAGTCAGTCAATGTGGCATCTAGGAGGGAAAACTGCTTGTGCAATTGCAAAATCTTGATCTGATAGTTACCAAAATAAAAATATTGAGCTCACAAAGTATACAAATATGAGAATGTGGGTTTGAGTTTGAGAATGGACACTCTGTCCAAAAAATGCCAAAGATTAGGTTCATGTCTTGTTTACCTCTCCCAAGACCCAGATAACCAGGGCCAGCATTGGATAATGGCCTTTAGTTAATGTGATATCTTGGATATCACCTAGTAGCACCCAAGGTGGGTACCACACCTAGGTTGATTGTGCAAAACCCATTATTAGATGCATAAGATTAATTCAATTATTGCCTATGGCTTGTTAAAAATAATAATTATTATTCTGAAAAGAATGGATGTAATAAGTATTACAAGTGTACATGTTAGTTTCCTATTAAGCATGGGTGAGATAAAGGGGCTAAAGATTAGAGGATCAGGTTTCTCTTGATGGATTTAATATTTAATTTCTTCTATGATACCAGTTTTTTTTTTATCAGTAATACCAGTTAACTATATATAGAAGTGCTTCATTCTCTTGTTATATACTTGGGTATACATGGCCTAGGGAGTAGAGATGCCAAGAGTCATTTGCCCATCTTGGCTAAATGATTTTTACCTTGATGGAAAAAAGAAATATTTACCTTGATGGGAAAAAAGAAATTGTGTTTTAGTTGACACTGAAATGATCTAATAAAAGCACATAAGGTTGCCTCAGAAAGAAACCCTTTTCTAAATATGCGCACTTGCATGTGTGCATGCCTGGGATACACTGCTTTTATTGTAAGTCTGATGTTGTTACCTTCTGTGTTTTTTCAGAGCCCATACTTTGTTAACATCCTTCTGGCTGGCTATGACAAGGAGACTGGCCCATCTTTGTACTACATGGACTATATTGCCACCCTTCACAAGATTGAGAAGGGAGCATTTGGTTATGGATCCTATTTTTCTCTGTCCATGATGGATAGACACTACCACAGCGGAATGTCAGTTGAAGAGGCAATTGATTTGGTTGACAAATGCATAGTGGAGATTCGATCCAGGCTGGTTGTGGCACCCCCAAATTTTGTCATCAAAATCGTTGATAAAGATGGTGCAAGGGAGTACGCCTGGCGTGAATCCATCAAAGATGCCGCTGCTCTTCCTCCTACTACTGCCTGAACTGCTTATGGTTTTGGTTGGAGACCACTCCATTTCCTTTTTCCTTCCATTCAACATGGGGGATTGCTTTGTTTTTCATGGGACTTAATGACGTTCTTTATTTCGTTGCTGTTGGAACTGATGACATGTATACACACATTCTAGTATTCAAGCGTTTGAGAGGTTTTGACAATTGACATCTTCAGCGGGTCATCTCTCTCTCTCTCTGTTTATGAGATATCTGGTGGCAGCAATTAGAGTCCAGGGCACCCAAGAGGGTCCCTGTTGCCTCTCATGCATTAATAGGGTCCATCTCCAGAGTCCAGACCATATTTACACACCCTCACAAGACACAAGCCGGCCATGGTGCTGGTGCATCTGTTTCTCTCTTCAGTAATAAGTTGGGACTCATTGTAGGCTTCAACAATGCAACACACAGATGATGCTTTATTCACCAAGGGGGCCACGTTTCATCATTTAATGTTTAAAGTGAAAAGGGTTCCTTTCTTCGCAACCACAACCGCCACAGAAATTATATAATAGTCAACTCATCAATTAATGGAAAAGCATACTGTCATGCCCTATTACACTTTGAGATTGGGGCAAGCAAAGGATCTGCTGCTAGCAACTAACTAATACTTCATTATATAGAGACATTTACATGGGATGAGTTTGGCCAACTGTACCCTTACAAGATAAGTAAGCAAAAAGATATGGGCCGTTTGATTGTATTGTCTTCTAATTATGAACCACATATATAGAATCTAAAGAAAAAACGAGCACTTTGATATAGCTTCGGTGAAGATACTCGATCCACTGAGAGACTGCACAGTGCACAGTCTGTATTTACAAAATCTACTAGTGCAGTGTTGTCTGTATGTACCATACCATGACTGAGGTCTCGTATTTCAGCATTTGTAGCTGTCGAGGGCCCAGCACTCTGCAATGAGAAACCTTATGCTGGCATGTTCGAGGATGAATCCTCGTCCTGCATTTGCTGTTGAGGGCCCAGGTTGGTTTTCTTGATGTTAGTTTCAACTTTCAAGTAAAAGGCCCATCTAAAGAATTTTGGGGCATGGATTCACGTGGCGGTCGGGTCCGTATTTATTGCCTTTTGTTTTGACGCCTATTCTATTTGGATTAAACTTTGCTGTTGTGAATTCAATTGTTACCATGGGTGTGGGGTAAAAGAGTAATTGTCTTTAATATTCTTTTTTTTTTTTTTTTTTTTTTTTTTTTACGCAGAAAACTAGGAAATTAGATGAGTCCACGCTTCCAATAGGCCAGATTGTTAGTCCCAACTCCCAACCGCAAAAATTTCATCTTCTATTTTGTTCTTCTCCTCCCTCACAATTCCTATCAAAGGTGTTGGGAATGAGGCCGGATCTCCTAAAAGCAAAAATCAGGTTCACACCTTTAGGACATCGTGGCTCATGCTCTTTGGATTTTTCTTGGTGGCCAACAAAAATTACTTTTGACCATTGGCAATTATCCATCTTGATTCTCCTTATGGGATCATGAATTGAAAATATGCATACGCACTAGTTAAAGCGGTGTTTGGTGGTACTGAAATGACCTCTCAAAGTGAAGGTGATTGGTGTTTGGGATCATGGAATCTTGGTATGGTACTTTTTAAGAGTAAAGAGTAAAGAAGAAAAGGTAGAGGAAGATGTAAAAGGTTATTTATAGAAAGTCAGCTTTGCTTTTCCAACCATCATGATGATATCTGTTTATCTTTTTCCATTTTATTGAAGCCTTTAGTTGCATTGAAAATGAAGGAAATCAAATTAAAGTAACAAACAAATGAACAATTACCTCAGAAAATGATATTTAGTAATAAAACGAATCATTTTCCTTGTCATAGGGGTGTCAATTGGACCGGATTCGGTCTAATCCGATTCAACCCACTATGAGTCCATTATAGATGGACCAGGTCCAATCCAATTTGTTGAATATTTTGGACCTGTTCAATTCAATGTCTGAACAGTTTAGTTTGTTCAAATTGGTTTTAATTTAGAGGGTATTCTGTAGTGTAGATGAGAAATTTGTGGGTGTGGACTGGTCCACATCGCACCCTGTGGCAGGGACCAATCCACACCAATATTTATTGGTTAATATAATTTTTTTATTTTTATAATTTTTAATGTTTTATCAATAAAATAATATTTTTAAATATATAAAATATATTTTTTTAATTTTTTAATTATTTTACTATTGTTTTATAAAAAAATTAATATTTATTGGTTAATATAAATTCATTGATGCATTTTTCAAAATATTTCACATAAAATGCAAAAATTAGTCCACACCACACTTTTTTTATTCCATATATCTCATATACATTTTATGAATGATATACACAGTTAATCATAAATATCTAATTTTTGCATTTTATGTGACAAATATTTTGAAAAATGCATCAATGAATTTATATTAACCAATAAATATTATTTCTTTTATAAAACAATAGTAATAATTAACAAATTAAAAAATATATTTTATATATTTAAAAATATTATTTTATTGATAAAACATTAAAAATTAAAAAAATTAAAAAATTAAGTAAAATAATTAATATTTTATTGACAAAAAAATTAAAAATAATATTTAAACAATTGAAGCATGGGATCAAAAATAGGGTTTTGATCCAACAACAATGTGAAACAGACAATAGGGTTTCAGAGAGACTTGTGAAGCATGAGATCAAAAATAAACCGTAGAGAGGATGCATCCACGACTTTTTCCCATTGACGCTATATTGGGGTAAGGACGGGATCGGTCCATGCTATATTGGGGTGTGGCATGGACCGGTCCCGTCCACACCCAGCCAAACGGGTCTCCATCCCGTGAATGGGACCGAAATGGTGCCGAACACCGCCTTAAATTGGTTCCAACCCAAACCTAGTCCATTGACACCTATATTCAATTCTTATTTCTATCAATGAATTAAATATTGGTTCATTCCAATCCATTATAGATGGATTAGATCCAATCCAATAAAATCTTGATTGGTCCAATTCAATGTCTTATTGTCCAATTCAATGTCTTATTGGTCCATCCAATCCATTCAAATTTGGATGAATTCAACCCAAAACCAGTCCATTAACACCCCCTACTATTAAGTTGGAAATCAAAACCTAATTGATTGATAGATAAATCATGTGGAAGACATCTATTTGGAAGATGATTTCATGGGAAATTAGAACTGATATCATTTTCCCATAATTGCTAACCAAATTTTGAAAATATAGCAAAAATATGAAATGTGCAATGATGCATTCTAATCATGTTCCAAAGCATGTTACACTCAATCGTGTAATCAGATAGATACTTTTTAATTTTTTACCATTTAAGGTGGCATTCGGTAACGTGTTCATCTCGTGGATGGACCATTTCGGTCCATGACATGAGATGAACTCCCCATTCAGTTGGTCGTGGACGAGACCAGTCCACACTATGTCGTGGATTATCCCCATCCACAACCCAAAATCTCGACCACACATATATCTCGTGGATGTGGTTGGTCCATAGCATTTTCACACTCTATTTTGATACAATACATATCTTGTACATACTTTTCTTTCTTTTTAATTTTTATATTTTAAAATAATATTTTTTTAACTTTTAACTTTTTTAATATTTTATTAATAAAATAATATTTCTTTTAACTTTTAATTTTTTTAATATTTTATTAATAAAATAATATTTTAATTTTAATTCTAGCACAAGCCCAGTAGTGCTCCTTCTCCACTCTTTTGTATTCATTTAAATTTAAATTTTTTATGTTTTTTATCAATAAAATAATATTTTTTTAATGTTTTAAATATTTTTTTTATTTTTCCAATACATTTATCATATAAAATGCAAAAATTAGACATTTATGACGATTGTGTAAATCATTCCTAAAATGTATATGAGATACATTGAATCAAAAAGTGTGGTGTGGACCAGTCCACACTACGTCTACAAAACAACAGTGGGTGTGGACTAGTCTAGTCCACATAGTCTATCCATAGTTCAAAACAACTTTGGATTGTGATGTGGTGTGGATTGGTCCCTACCACAAGGTGTGATGTGGACAAGTACACACCCACCAATTTCTCATCCACACTATAGAACACCCCCTAAGTTTGATAATTTGTAGATATATAGGTACATTAACCCACATGATTTTTAGCTTTTTGCATTTTTGGTGAAAGATGAAAAAAGTTATTGGAAAGGAAATATATAATTTTCAAGAATGAGCTTTTTTGTCTTTTTAAAAGAATTTATTCAAAAATGAGAAAAGAAGAGCCTTCCTAATGAAAAGAGACATTGGAGAAAGCAAAAGATTTGTAAGGTAAGAGAGAGAGAGAGAGAGAGAGAGAGAATTGGCTTATCAATGGGACATCCATTTCTTAACAAGGTGCCATACTCTCATCTTATCAAGGCAATCATATCTCTCAATGCAAGCAAGGTAGTTCTATCTTCTATATTCATTTTAAGCTAAATTGTGTGTTGTAAGGGAGGAAACAAGAAGGAACGTTGTTTTTTGTGAAGCGTCAATTCATTAGAGATTTAAGGCGGATGTGTGGGTTGCACCAATATCGAGAAGTTTGGTTTGTGAGAGAATAGTTTGAATAGCAGCCGTGGGTCTGTGACTCGTGAATTTTATTTGGTTGATATAAGCATTTTGATTATTGGATTGCAAAATCTCAAGGTAATTGTACTGTGAATGGGACGTAGGCCTACTAAGGGTCGAATCTATATAAATTATTGTGTTTTCCTCAATGTTTCTATATTTTTTTTCTCTCAATCTAACTTCATTACAATTAGTTAATGCTTCAATCCTTTTCAAGTCTGACCAAAGGTTTAAAACTTTCACTTAAATGATCAATGAAAGACTAGATCATGTGTTCAAAATGTTTTAAAACTTGACAAAGATTGATTAGTTGAATATCTATTTTATATACTTGAATAGGTTATTGCCTTTCATTTCTTAATATTATTTGAAACATTCAAGTAAACAAAAAAAAAATCAATCTATAAAGTTAGAATTTCAACAATCATACAACCAATTCAATCCTTCTATTGGGTTGATAACTGAACAATATAATAAATCCCAAACAAAATAGCAAATAAAGTTGTCCTGTACTTGGTATAAAGTGAGTATTGCAATGTATAATAAATGAAAGTCCCATAGATCCAAGGACTTTTCTT